TAAAACCCACAAGGGGCCCTCGAGTCAGAGCCCTGCCCACCCCCGCCCCCCCAGCTTCCCCCTCTGCCCCGCTGCACTCGCGCTTCCTCGTGTAGACCAAGGGTCTGTCAGGTGCCCATTTAACCTGCTTTGGCACTGGCAGGTCTGGCTTATTCCTCCAGCTCCTGGTGGTGAGTTCTGGAAGTTACCACGTACCTGGCAGAAACGAGCTCTTGCTTTTTTGTCCGTGTGAAACCTGATGTGGGAGGCCCGTGCTAGGCCTGCAGGCCAGTGACCGGGCCCGTGACCCCCACCTCGTGTGACTCACAGACGTGGCCATGTTCCCTCCCAGACTTTATTTTCCGCACAGAGTCACCACGCGGTAGGTGCACCCCTCCACAGACAGTCACTCGGTCCTGCCCCGGGCCCTGGCCGGCCTCCCGCGGGCGGCTTCTCAGGAACCGTCTCGGGACGAGGGACCGCCTTCTCCCCTGGCCCCGGCTGACTCTGGAAGACGCCGGTGGGATGGGGCCGGCCGGCCGGGCGTGGCGTCCGGGCTGTGTGGCGCAGTGACTCCCGGGACCCCCCCCCCCCGCCGGAGCCAAGGCCGCGGTGCCTTGTCACAGCCAGCACCTCCGTCGTGGACGGCCACGGGCGGCTTTCCCTCTGCTCTGGGCAACCTGGCGAGCCCTGCTGCCCGCTGCCCGGCAGACTTCCCGTTTCACCCCCGGGGAGGCTCCGTGCCATGTGCGAACGTGGGGGTGTCCCGCGTGCTCTCGTCGCGAGCACTTCAGCTAATTCAGCCCCTTCCTGAGCGGCTCTCTGCCCAGAGACCCCCAGGCGTGCCCGCGCGGGCTGCTGGACCGCTCCTGGCCGGGCCCCGAGTTCCAGAGAGGGGGTTCGGCGCCTGCCTCGGACATGGACGTTCGCGTGCCGGTTTGCAGCGTGACAGCGCCGAGGCCCGGTCCCTACTGTGCCTCGATTCTCGTGTCCGTTACAGAAAATAGTGATTAGAAATAAAGGTGCAGGGTAAGATGAACCGGGAGGGAGGGGACGCCTGCCTGGGCGCCCGCCTGCCCCGCCCCTGCCGGCTCCTCAGGGCCCCTCATCCTCGGCGGGCGGCTGCAGGTGCGCGAAGCTCAGGAACACTTGCTCCAGGGAGATCTGGCTCACGGAGTAGTCGTCCACCGCGTACTTCTCCTTGGCCTTCTCCAGGACACCAAACACCTTGTGGGAGCAGAAAGGCTGCTGCCAGCAAGCCCAGGGTGGGCTCCTCGGCTGGTGTGCGAAGTCCTCTGGCCACGGCGGCCGTAAGGCTCCCAGAGGTCCCAGCTCTGCCCCAGCCTGGTCCCCGGAGCACCTGCAGGGAGCAGCCAGCCCTTCGGGGAGCAGGGGGCTGTGCCGCACGGCGGGGGGCCGGGCCTCCCCCAATCTTGCCAGCTCAGAGTGTGACCCTGGGCAACATATATCCTCTTTGCGGGTCAGTTTCCTTTTTTACGCCGTTTTTTTTTCTGACTTAAGTGAACCTCCAGACCTAGTGGATTTGGGGGTGCAAGCTAGAGCAGAAAATGACTCTCCTCTTTGGAAGGAGCCTAGAGGCGCCACAGAAGGAGTCATTCCTGGAAGGGCCTTCCCCAGCCCCAGCTGTGCTGGCAGGGCCCACACTCACCTTGGCCCAGCTGAGGTCCTCCCCGGGCAGGTGGTAATGGACCATCCCTTGGTGCTCATCCTCCAGGACGCTGCCTGCACGAAGGAGACACCGTGTCCCCGTGAGGGCCTGGCTGTGGGGGCCAGGGGAGAGCTGCCCGCGACCCTGGAATCACGGCCCTCCTCCTGGGGGTCGTGGGCCCGGGACTCAGCAGGGAGGAGGCACGGAGACACACCTGGGAAGGTCAGGTTCACAAACGCCTTGAACTCCTCCAGGGCCTCCTGCCGCCCTTCGCTCCGGACCTTGGCCCGCAGGGAGTAGCCGCTGCCAAACTTGCTCTTGAGGTGCTGTGGGCTGCCCAGGCACTTGAACTGGCCCTGCACCATGATGGCCAGCCGGGTGCACAAGGCCTCACATTCTTCCATGCTGGGGAGAGGGGCAGAGGTCTGACACGGGGCCGGGGGCGCTGATGCCTGCCTCCCACGTCAAAGGCTCATGTGGGCGGGCTGGTGTTGTCGGCGAGATCGAGCTGTTCCTGATTCCCGTGTTCGGAGGGTGGGCCACACGGTTAAGCCCGGGGACTTTCGTCACAGATTCTGAACCAGCTGCTGGCTGGTCGTCTGTCCACCCGGCCCCACCCAACCCACCCCTTCCACACCCCCATTCTGGCTCTTCCATCGACCCCTAGAGACCCCGGCTCTACCTATGGGAGGTGATGACGATGGCCTTGCCCGACTCGCGGGCCCGTGCCACGGTGTCCCAGAGCAGGCGCCGGGCCACGGGGTCCATGCCGGTGGACGGCTCGTCCAGGAAGATGACGGAAGGCTCTCCGAGCAGAGCAACGCCGGTGCTCAGCTTTCGCTTGTTGCCACCACTGGGGGCAGAGAGGGTGGGGTGAGACAAGGCTGACAGCACGGGCTCCCCATGTCCCAGCATCGGACAGGTCCCAGTGATTGCTGGGCGCCCCAGGTGAACAGGAATGAGGGCAGCATGATGCCTGCGAAGCCGACCTTGCAGTGTCAGAGGCCCCACGGAGGCCTCTGTGCCCAGAGGCTGTGCCCAGGGTGGTCAGCCGACACACCGTCTGCACTAAAGGGGGCCTGACAGGGGCCCGACGCCCCCTTACTAGTGGCCTTGCCTCCAGGCAGCGGGAATGGGCAGGGCAGCCCCGTTCCACCCGGCACTGCCTGAATCATGCCCCCCAGTCCGCTTTCAAAGCCACATCAACGGGTATGGGCTCTGGCCCCCGACCCGTTTGGCTGCCCCCCCGCTGTATCGTAAGGGAGACTCCAACTCTGCCCTGGGCAGACGTGGGGCAGGGAAGGGGACCCGAGCGCAGGCACACCTGTATGTCCTGACCAGCTTGTTGGCATGAGGCTCCAGAAGCAGGCCCCGAAGCGTGTTCTCCACGCAGGCGCCTATGTGGCGCTCAGGGATGCCCCGGAGCCGGGCGTACATGACCAGCGTCTCTCGGCCCGTCATGTGGTCCAGCAGAGCGTCGAACTGGGGGCAGTAGCCGATTCGCTGCCGTACCTGGAGGCAAGATGCGGCAGGTCAGAGGGGGGGTCCCCCAGGCTCCGCCCAGCAGGTGTGTCTATGGCCACCATGGCTCACGGCCAGGATGCTGCGCTCTGTCAGGGACACGGGACGTGCTTGGCCGGCTCGGGGAAGCGCACCTGCCACCCCACACCGATGGCGCAGAGGTGGGCTGGGGCCTAGGCGACCACGGGCGCGTGGGTGGGGTAGTGAGGACACGCGCTCGTCGCTGTGAGAGTATCTGCCGTGCGACAGCTCATCCACCCATCAGGCATGTAACGTGTCTCAGGCCTTCCTTTCTTCTCTGATGGAGGGCACGTTTGCTGGCGACACCTTTGGGGTGGCTTGTCACCCAGTCAGGTGATGCGGTGGCAGGGCTCTGAGCGGTGGGCCCCGTCCAGCAGAGCCAGGGCCCCCTGGGGCCGGCACCTTCTCCCGGACCACTCTGGCTGGCGGGGGACCGTGGATCCCAGACACGGGATTTCTTTCTCCTCGCCTTCCTGGCCATTTCTAGGCTTCCAGAACCTGTGTTCAGTCGGCCTGGGAATACTCTCGGCCACTGCCCCGTCAGTTAGTACCTTCCCCGGAACTCAGACTGGATGTACCCAAGAGTCCCCTCCCTCCCCAGCCTCTGGGTCACATTTATGGTTTTCTCTTGCCCGCGTATGTTTCTAATCTCGCTTATTCCCTTCACCATGGCAAACACAGACGTTTTATGACCTGGGCCTGGCGGCTGCACAGCTCAAGCAGTGGGCTTGCGTCTCCTGCGGGCACCTGTGTGTGCGGGTTCTAGGCACGGGCCTTGGTTTCTTGGTGTGTGTGCACTGCTTGTGGGCCCTGAAACACTGTGTGGGGCTTCTTGGGGTCTGGAGAGGAAGGCCTTCTTCCACACGGTGTGGGCTGTGCTCTGGGGGCAGGGCAGACCAGAAGCCCCCAGGACACGCAGTCGCCGCCAGGCACGGACTCTTCTCTGTTCCTCGCCTCGGCACACAGAACCTTCCACCCAATCCCCAGCGGTAGAGGCAGTGGGAGGGCAGCCTGGATCCTCCTCACCTGGCCCCACGTGGAGAAGTCTCCTGGGACACCCCTGCCACGGGGGGCACAGGCCTCAGTTTCTCCCCTTTACCCGGCAAGGCCCCGAGACCCAAGCCTAGGGAACACAGCATGCCCTCTGCAGAGCCGGGTCACGTGCTGTCTCTCAGGGCTCACAGATCTTAGCCGGGGCTCCTCACTGAGCATCGGGCTCTACGATGCTCTTAGCAGTGTGCTTTGGTGAACTTTTACCCGGCTTTGGTGCAATACCTGGTCTGAACAGCCCAGGGCACCACTACGATAAATCTGTGCGCACAGGCTGCAAACCGCTGTGAACTCAACGTGCCCGGGTCCAGAGAGCGGCTTCTCAGAGAGAGCCCGGACCTGGCTGCCAGCCCGGCCAGGACAAGGGGGGGCGGCTCTTCTCTTCCTGTCCTGTCTCCCCCTCATTGTTTGCTTCGCTCTGGCTCCTGGTCACTGCCTTGTGAACTGTGAGCCAGAAACGAGCCCATCCCTGCTTCCAGGGTGCCCCGTCTTCCCACACCCACCTTCCTGATTTCCGAGCTGATGCTGTAGCCCCCGACAAAGGCGTCCCCAGAAGTGATGGTCTCCTCCCCGGTCAGCATTTTGAAAGTCGTGGTTTTCCCAGCTCCGTTGAAACCCAGCAAGCCGAAGCACTCTCCTTTCTGGACTGCGAGGGAGATCTTGTCCACGGCAAGCAGGGGCGTCCGCTGCTCGTATACCTGCGGGGCACGGGCACTGAGGCCTGGAGGCAGCGGCACAGGGGTGGAACTCAGGGAGTGGGGGGCAGAGGGGGCCTTACCTTGGAGAGCTCCTTGATAACCAGAGGAGTGTCCAGCAGGGACTCCAGGCTGGGGGCCAGGACCCGGTTCCTCTCGTCCACCACATCCTGGTCCTCGGGAAGTGCCGATGTCCGAGAGTACGCTTCCGTCTGATCGTTCCAGAGAAAGACCGCACCCGTGAGTTCCGGCTCAGGAGGTCCTTCTCCACGGGACACAGGATGGGGGTCTCTGAGACTGCTCAATATAGGGACTCGGGACTTTCACAAGGATGGCTGGGTGGGCCCGGGGCTGACACTGGCATCGAGGGGAGGCTGACGGCCAAGGAGAAAGGCCTGTGCAGGACGCACCGCGAAAGCCGTGACACTTGGCTGAGGGGGTGCGTGGACGCGAAGTCCTTCCCAGAGGGGTCTTCACGTCAGAGCACCATCTCGCCCTGGGTTCACGTGTGTGTCCAGTGCAGTCCCGCGGGTTTTGTTTGTGGGGTGGGGTGTGTGTGGCAGACACGAGGGCCTGGATGCCTGCACCCTGCCGGGTGGCTGAGCCCCAGGCCCGTGGCGGCGGAGGCGTGGGGAGTGCCCGGGACCCACTCACCAGCGCCCGCCTCCTCCGGAAGGCACAGAGGCAGGTCTTCAGCCTCCACAGCGTGTCCGTCTCGACGAGGAAGAGCAGGCTGAGGTAGGCAAACCCGGAAGCAGCCATGGAGGTCACAAACCTGCCGACCCCCGGGGCGCTCCACGCGTAGAAGTTCTGCTGGTACCGGATGTCTGTGCGGGCGAGGGAGTGAGCGCTGAGCCTGGCCCCGGAGCGCTCTCCTGCCCCAGGTCCCGGCCTGAGCCCCTCTCTGGGCCCACGGGCACCTGCACACCAGCCCCTCGGCAGAGGCCACGAAGGCCCGGGACCCATTTGTCATCCTTGTCACTGCCCCTCAGAAGCCCCGGGGACTCCCCGCGTTTTGGGGCAGTTCTACCTTGCGAGGGGTGCCCGTGACAAGTGACCGGGTCACACCCTGGCTCACTCACACACCCCTTCCTCCCTTGGGGACGGCACTGGGATGTGAAGATGGGACACCTCCTCCCTGCCTTGCCATGGTCACAGTGGTGACAGCTACCACCGCCGAAGACAGCTCCAGGCACAGGAAGGGCCTGTGGGAGCCTGAAAGGTGGCTCCAGAAAGACGCGTCCATGTCCTAACGCCCAGAACCTGTGCACAACCCCACTCAGGAAAAGGGTCTTTGCAGGTGTAGCTTAGGGCCCTGAATCCAATGCCAGGCGTCCTTACAAGAGAAAGGCAGAGGAAGATTTGAGATACAGAGACGCTGGGCGGCGGCCACGTGAAGGCTGGCGCGCAGCCTGGAGGCAGCGCACAGGACTGCGGGAGCCCGGGCTGTTTTGCGGAAGGAGCCCCTCCGTGGGAACAAGCCAGGCAGGAGTGGGGAGGGGCGGCCGCGGGGCCCGGACACTCACTGTATTTCCGGCAGTAGTGTGCCGCGACCTCCGACGAGGTGCAGTATCGCCTCATCTCGAAGTTCTCGTGGAAGCTGCTGACGGCCATCCCCAGACAGTGGTTGGGCAGCACCAGGAACACGTGGTCCAGGGTTCTGGAAAGCTCTTCTAACTTCACCGCTGTGGGGAAGGGCACAGACGAGTGGGCACTGAGGGACGCAGGACACCCGCCCCCAGGACAGGTCCGCAGATCCGGAGGGTGTGTGGGCCGGGTGCCCAGCTGGGTGAAGCCCCCTCTTCCTTGGCCCCCTCCCCCCGCTGCCGAAACTGCCAGGCAGAGCCGCTGGCTGCCGGCCCAGTGGGACCACCTTTGGCAGAAGGGCCTGAGTATGGCCTGGCCCAGTGGCCACACTGGTGCCACCTGGCCCCCAGGCACCTGGGGGGGTTGTCTCTAAGGCCCCCACCTGGGATGCGCATGATGGTGACCACGAGGAAGGTGGCTATGCCCGACAGGATGTTGAATATGGTCAGCCTCGTGTAGGCAGTGGCCGCTCCCGAGAAGAAGAAGTTCATCAGGTACATGAGGGGGATGATGGCCCAGCCGTAGAGCATGAGCAGCAGGAGGGCATCGGCCATGTGGCCGTCGTGCGTGAAGGCGTGCACGTCAAAGGCCTTGAACACCACCTGCGGCAGCACAGAGGTAGGCGGTGCCTGGGGGCCCTGTCTCCAGGGTGGCTTTCAGCCCCGGGACTCCCCCCCCCCCCCGATGACACCCCCCCTTCTCCCCTTTGCCGTTGGAGCGGTCACCAGGGCGCCCCGCGCCCGGACCTTGCCTGCCACTGTGGGATGAAGGCTGGGGGTGCAGACACAGGTGAGGGGTGCTGCCGGTGGGGTTCCCAGCCAGCGTCCCAGAACTGGGGCTGAGCTGCCAGCGCGGACCTGTGGTCTGCGCAGGGGCGCCAAGGCAGGGCCCCGGGACGTGCAGGGGAGGGTCCCGGCACCGCACAGCCCTCACCAGCAGCAGCAGACTGGGAACGAGGAAGGACATGAGGTCCCACAGCAGAGCGGAGAGCCAGAAAGTAGCCACGTGGACACCGCTCACAAACTGGACGTGCTTGGCCTGGACGGCCCTCTCGCTGACCGCCAGGATGGAGAACGTGCTGGCTAGGAATGCCATGGCGAAGAGCAAGTTGAGGGCAATGTCAAATCCCTTCCGGCTCCTGTGGAGCGGGGGGGACAGGGCAGGTCAGGGACTGAGCACAGTGAGTCCGGCCAGCATCCATCCAAAGCATGCGATGGAGGAGCCAGGCAGTAAAGGGGTTTAAGAGGGAATGCCGGAGCTGGGGGGGGGGGG